CTGACAGCTGGAATTACGATTGCTTGTTGGACTTGTCTTAAAAGATAAGTTCACTGTTCGAAATCAAACAGCGATTGCTAACCACTGTAGCTCTTCGAAGTTGTTTAACGACAAGTTGAATGAATATTTAAATAAACATATTAATGGCAGCAGGTAACACAGTCGATATTGATTTTTTTAATTTTGTCAATACTGATACACTCAAGTCATATTTAAAGTCAAATAGATAATTAGTTAAGACTTATAAACGCATATTATTTTTAAATTATTGTAGCATATGTTATTCATTATATTATACTAACTGTTATTATTATACTATTTATTATTATTATATATATATTATACTATTTTTGTAAATGGAGTTGATTCTGTAATATAGAATATTATTATTATTATTATTATTATTTCAGCCAAAATTGTCATGTGGAATCCGGTTACCCGGACCCGTGGACCAGTTATCATCTCGAACTTAACGATTTAAAACAATATTTAAATTTGTGCCAAGTATTCGTTCATCTCCAAACAAAAATCATAAAAGTATGTGACGATATTACAGAAAAAAAACTTCAAGGCATTCAACAATAGGAAACTTCAACACGATTATCATATAGAAAACCTCTTGCCACTCATATATTTTTGTGCATTATAGCTAGTGTGTTTATTTAAGGTATGATATTTTTAATTTTTATTATTTAAAAGTATCGCATTTTAATAAAAAAAAAGCAATTTGTAACATATATTTTTTCTAATTTCCAAATATACAAATAATTGTATAGTTCTGAAAAAAGTTGTTTGACATGTTAATACCTAGTTTCTTCTCCTCTTAATTTAAATGAAACACCATTAGTTACATTAAAATGTTTTTTCCTTGTAGTTTATGATCCCGTAAATTTTGGCATAAGACTATGCATGTCATATATTACATTTTTTTTTAATACAACAGCACATCTAGGGTACCTTAGAACTACAGTATAATAAATAACTTTTTTCAGGTAAATAGCAACGTTCAATAACTATTCCCTCAGCCCGAATACGACACTTAATTGTGATACTAAAGTGCAAAAGCGGAACAGTAATATCTGATTATAAGAATAATAAACGCAGATATGACGATGCAATTCTGATTAAACGTAAATGTAATTGTTTAATGTTATTTAACGTTTAATGTTATTGACGTTTGTATGTCTTTGTTTGGCACACACATGGAAAAATCGACAGTTCAAAAACCTGATTTATGATGGGGCTGGGGATAGGGGTGGAGATAGGGATGTTAATTTTTTTTAATGATTTTTTGTTTTCACAACGAACAAACTTGAATGAATGGTTAAGTTGGTTGGGAAAAAACTAACCAAGTGAATGTTTTGCCAATTAATCGATTAAGGCCAATTATTAAGGCACAACATAAAATTGTTACTAACCAACTGTTTACTTTGGGTTAGCAACGAAAAAATGTATCCCGTGGTTGCGGACTCGTACGCAAGCTGTTAAAATATAATATGTAATACCTATGTGAAAACTGTTCATTCAATTTAGTTATAGTAAGGTTTCAAATTAAAACTCCCCATGTCTGCTCCAGTGTGACCTCTAGTAGGATTGTACGTTTAATTTTTTAAACTGAAATAATTTATTAACAAAAAATAACATTATAATTACGGCAATATCGATGTCTTGGAAATGTTATGATGAATTAATTTTATTTTACATTTTACCTAATCGAATTTCCGTTTAAGGTATCAGATAAAATCGTTATCGTATTAATTAATAATAAAAAATTAACTTGTATATTCAAGCTATTAATATGATTTTAAAAGTGAATATTAAGAGGTTACTTTAGGAAGTAAACTTTTTTAGCTAACATAATTATTTCATTGAAAAAATAACTTCAATATAAACTTTCAATAACTCAGTACAACTATACACAGAGCTCGAATCGGGAGGGGAGGTTATTAGGAGTTGATTGTTCAAATATTTGTTTAAACAATTATAGCTTAGGCCTTCTAATTTTTATTGGTAATTTTTCAACAGTTCAAAAAAACTATTTACTTGATTTACTGAATTCAATAAATACAAATGAATAGCATTACAGCGTTTTAAAGAGAAATGAATTGTAAATTAATAAATTTGATATAAAATATATCTAAAACCGTTGTTCAGTTATAGCTAAAACTTAATGATCAAATTTTCGTTATGTATGTTAGAATTTGGGTAAGATCATTATAAGAAATAACTAAACCGAAAGCAAACATTTGAACTACCCTAGATAAATTTAATCAAATAAAAATAATATACCTACATATGTTTTAGGTAAAATTAAAAACAATATTGGTGTTATTAGGAAGTAATTACTAATTACTTGTATGTAATAATATAAATAATACATACTATAATTACTCATATTATCAAAAATAATTTAAACATATGTGTTGGGTATTATTTACTCACATACACAAATTCAGGTATCAATAATTATTCGAAGTTAATCACAACATAACACACTTTTCATTAAAATAGCTCAATATTGATATTTTACATTCACATGAATAATGTCACATTGGAAATAAATGCTTTATATTTAAAAATTACACCTTGTTCTATAATTGTAAGGTCTTGGGTCCAATTGATGAGAATGATATTCTTTATTCTCAAAAACATTAAGCCGTTGATAATTCTGACATGGTAATATTTGTTTTAAAAACGATATGTTTCGGAAAAAAGCATTCAACCTAAATTAAAAACGCTAATTGAATTCGTATCATATTAAATTACCTATTAAACTGTAATACGCTTACCGATTAAACTAATGCTGTGCTAAAAAATTAACGTCAAAAATAAACTCGACAGAAAATAATATCAATCGATATTTTAAATGAATATTATAAAAAAAAAATATTATATTACATCGATGCTATAATTTGGGATAAAATCGGAGATATTTAGATAAAATCCTGGTGAAACTTAATGAGTGATGTAATGGTCAGATCTCCTCGAGATACAATATTGACCATGGCACGTGTAAAACATTATTGCTTACTGTTGTTTTGGGTAGATTTTAATTAAGATGTAAGACTTAGTTAGCATTTAAGCATTTTATTATTGTACTCAATTCTATGTAAATGACGTTGCTAATACTTGTTTACCACAAGTATTAGGATATGCTAGCTTGCATTCTTGTACTATAAAACCCCAATGAAACAGCGAGTATGTATTCAATTGCTCTTACTTGTTTTACCCGTGCAAGTACTGTTTATAAAAGTGTTATATTAAATTGAATCAAATCTATCTTGGCAGTTTATTTGTTTTACTAAAGTCTAAATCATTTAATTACTATATTTCGTATACTGTTAAGATAGTGTTTGTATTGAACTCTACAGTTCATTACATATTTGGTGTCAGAAGAAGTTAACGGCTTGAATTTTTTTTTTTGAACGTCAAAAAAAAATATTCGTTAGGAAAAGTCAAGGACTTTTCGAAAGCCGTGCCACACTGTAAGTATCCAGGATCGTCCAGGAGCTTACACTGCCCATCCAAAAAGACCATTTTGAGGTTCTTTTTTTTTTTCTACCTATCAAACTTCATTCAAGTTCCGGTACACAGCGTTGTCCAGCCGAGCCGCCCAGCCAAGCAGCCTAGCCAAGCAGCCAATCCGCCCAGCCAAGCAGCCCAGCCACACAGCCAAGCTGTCCACCAACAACCAGAGTGTCAAGTCGTGTATACCAGCCACACAAATCATGTCGAACGCTTTATTATTGTAAGTCATTGGATTTATATAGCTTATGTCCGATAGTGATAGTTGGAAGGTAGTTGAATACGACCCAGACCAGTTGGTGATTAGGTTAAAAAATATACTAGGAACCAAGACCAAAATGGCTAACGATGCTTTACTAACTTTAAATTCAGCCATTAAAATGGTACCACATTTTTCTGGGGGGTCAGAATCAGATTTAACATGTTTTGAATCTAGATGTAAATTTATCATGGATAATATAGACCCGATATATAAATTAAAACTTATTGAGGTTATTAAAACTCAATTATCAGGTAGAGCTTTCGAAGTTATTAGGTACCGTGATGTTAAAACACTTAATGATCTCCTTAAAATATTGCGCGAAAATTTTGGCGCTACTCATTCCATCACATTCTTACAAGCGCAACTCAGTTCATTAAGGCAAGGATATAAAGAAAGCGCGCAAACTTATTTTTCTCGAGTCGAGGAAACATATCAAAAATTAATACAAGCATCTACTATAGATAAAACGAGCATAGAAAGAAACGCAATAGCAGAAACAATAAAATCTCATGCGCTTTCAGTTTTTATAAATGGCATAAATTCAAATTTAAGAATTATTTTAAAAGCGCGTAATCCTACAACTCTGGAAGGGGCCATTTCCATTGCTGTAGAAGAAGAAAAAAGTGTTGAGCCGCGCAATTTTTACAATAACGGCGCAAATAAATATAAAAATAACAATAATAAGTATACAAAAAATTCTAAAGATAATGATAGGGATAAAAAGAATATCCGCTGCTATCGATGCAACCGTGAAGGTCACGTCCAAGGAGAATGTAGGACAAAAGAAGAGAACTTACCAAAATTTACTAACCCAGCGTATAATAGGAGTACAAATATTAAACGGGAAAATAAAGATAACATAAAACGTGTGCTTATTGTAAGAAGCCTAACCACGAAATTAAATTCTGCAGGAAACGCATTTTTAACGAAAAAAAGAAAAATGATAATTCGAACGATAATGGTGACGAAGGCACCTCGGGCTCAAACCGATCAGTACAGGAAATTAAAAATAACGTGCGAGTAGTTACAGAAATAATAGACGAACATATAATATGTAAATCTAATTCTTTTATTAATGCATCAGCTAAATTTTTGATAGATAGTGGCGCGCAAATGAACATTATTAAAATAGACTCGCTAAAAGACGATCTTATCATAAACGAAGATGAAAAACGGCAACTACAGGGAATATCGGCAACGCGCGTGAGCACAATCGGAACAACAATTTTAGACATTCTGATTAATAACAGTACCTTAAAAATAAAGTTCAATGTAGTAGATAACGATTTTAAAATAAGACAAGATGGCATTCTGGGTAATTCATTTTTAAAAAAAAACAAAGCCATTATTGATTTAAATCGCGACTTATTAATTATTCCTACGGGTACAGAAGAACTTAACTCGTCACATTTAATTATTCCACAGCGCTCTAACTGCCTAGTATGTATTAAAGTAGAAAAGTCAATTCAGGCTGATAACATTTACATTGAAAAAATAGAGTTAAGCGACGATGTAATTATCGCAAATAGCGTAAGTCCAATCAAAGGGCAACACACGGTAGCAAATATTATAAACATAGGCGAACAACCGGCTTTCGTAGAAAATATTGAAATGAATAATTTAATCTGGGGGCCGTACGATAATAACAAGGTAAATGATAGTACTACACCAGACCAATATGATGACTCAAGTAATATCATGTCTATCAGGGAAAAATTAAGTGGGGCCAGTAGGTTAGAAGCGCTCGACAAGCTTATTATAACAGATCATCTACTTGATGACGAACGGGAAAAATTACTCGATATCTGTTTTAAATACTCGGAAGTTTTCTTTCTTGAGGGCGATATATTACAAGCAACAGACGTAATTACTCATAGAATCCCCACTCCCAATCTCACGAAACCAATAAACGAATTATTACAGTTATCGGACATAAGAGTTTATTACGCCAATGATAACATTGTTTATCTAATTAATTTACCGTTGGTATACCAAACACAGCTAACACTGTTTGCCGTACTAGCAAAACCGGTAAAATTAGACAATAATTTTTCTTATGTATATGTTAAACCAAATTTTAAATATCTAGCTATAAGTAAGACGAATGAGCACTATACGAGCTATTCAGATCTAGATTTGTTAAACTGCGAAGTATCAAAAACCTTCCTGTTATGCCCTGAAATTCAAACCTTACATCCAACAAATATGAAACCTACATGTGAAGTCCTGTAAGGCATATGGGAAAAATGATATCCTTATTCCTTCCCCAATTTCTAAAGATAACATTTTCACAGATGTTATTCCAAATACTAACATATCTAGCTTAATAAATTCAACATTGTATAAACTTCCAATTACACATGTTACAGAATATGTTAATATCCATAATTTAAACGATATGGCTAATCTCAAAACAGAACTGTTAGTACCTAAACATGAACAGTCATATGGTCTGTTTTTGTCTGTTCTTACTATATTACTAATTATTAATATATTAATTTTTATTGTATTCATTATCATAAAAGTTGTAAGTACAAGAGAAACCTTGCGTTCAGTTGAAGGACATACTGGTCGTAATTTCAACATAAACAATGAAACGGTTAATGTAAACAATGAAAATATTAATGTACTTAACGAAAGTATTAGTGTAAATAATATTAACAATGAACCTCCATGTGTTCATACTGAACATTCATTTGTTAATAATGAGCCTCAAAATGTTCGGAACGAACATCTCAACAGCAATGTAGCAATACCATACCATAATTCTAACACGCCTCGTGCTACATTTCATATTCCAAACCGTTTTTACTCGGTTTATCCACGTTTATAAAATATAACCATTGTATTTCTTATTGTATTCATATTATATTCATATTATACTCATATTATATTCACATAATCCATATATTATATTCTTATTGGTACGAAAAACATCTGGGTACTTCGTCCACATATGTTTTTCATTTTATCGGGGGGATGTAATGGTCAGATCTCCTCGAGATACAATATTGACCATGGCACGTGTAAAACATTATTGCTTACTGTTGTTTTGGGTAGATTTTAATTAAGATGTAAGACTTAGTTAGCATTTAAGCATTTTATTATTGTACTCAATTTTATGTAAATGACGTTGCTAATACTTGTTTACCACAAGTATTAGGATATGCTAGCTTGCATTCTTGTACTATAAAACCCCAATGAAACAGCGAGTATGTATTCAATTGCTCTTACTTGTTTTACCCGTGCAAGTACTGTTTATAAAAGTGTTATATTAAATTGAATCAAATCTATCTTGGCAGTTTATTTGTTTTACTAAAGTCTAAATCATTTAATTACTATATTTCGTATACTGTTAAGATAGTGTTTGTATTGAACTCTACAGTTCATTACAGTGATGACAAATTATGTATCATGAAATTACGA